TATATTACTATAATGTCAATAGTCAATAGGTAAACTGCGAATTAAAATCGAACCATACCACAAATTATGGTTTGGATTAGTTTGGTTTGAAAAATAAAATGGTTTGGTTTGATTTGGAAAAATTTCAAATAGTATAAAATGATTTGAGTTGAAAATATAACACAAACGGCTCAAATCGAACCTCGTTTACCCCTACTAGAGCCCTATATTTATAGAACGAAATTAGGGATACAATATTAATAATTTCTGGGACTAGAGAGGTACAATTGTCATTCACATGTAAATCATAATAAACCTGCCTTCTACAACAAATAACTTTATATTATAAGAAATATTGACTAATAAATAAAATCAGGTTAATAGAGACAAATTAGCAGAAAACTTAAGAATTTTGTTGCCTTATTATACATTATGTAGTCTGACTGTCTAAGTATGAAAAAAGACAAACTATAATATAATGAACTTGTAAAAAGAAATTTTCAGTACTATCATTTACCAAAAATATCATAGAATAGAGGGAATCGTGACATAGTTATGTGATTACACTTGTATTTTGATTTTGATTTTTCTTAAAAAAGGTAAATATGTAAATAGGTTGGATCGATTCGGTTAACTAGCGATTTAAGACTTTAATGATCGAACCAAACCATCATGACTTTATTCAAAACAAAGCAAAATCAATTACCAATGCCAAATTGACCTAAAACTACACGTATAATTATCTTATTTTTTTACCGATTTTTAGTTCAAATAATTTTTGGTCATAATCGAACTGGTTTAAAGGTCGTATTTTGCCATTTTTAGTTCAAGTGACTTTTAGTCATAACCGAACTGGTTTGAAGATCGCTTCTTGGTTTTTCAATGGAATTGGCGGTCCAATTCGATTCTGACAACATCGCAATTTAAATGATAGCACTAATAAAGTGAGTTCCATAATCACAAATTTAATTGACATTATAATGTCATCTCCATATAATTGACCACAATATATGGGAGATGATCCTCACTTCTTACATCTATATTCTTCTACTAGAATTAAAAAGGAGAAAGAAAAAGGGATGAAATGCCTCTAGTAGGGGTGTCAAAAAGGCTCGGTGGCTCAGGGCTCGACTCGTGGGTCGTCGTGACCGAGCCCGAGCAAGCTAGTGACAATAATGCTTGGCCCGAGAAAATTAAAGGACCAAAAAAAAAAATTTAAAAAAAATTTGACCTGCTGCAGGTTACAGCTGCCAGCAACGGCAGCTATAACTGTATTTTTTACGTAGCGTTACACTGTTACCTTTAATCGTATAGATTTTGAAATTCAAATTTGAAAAATAACGCGGATTTTTTTATCTATAAATACGGGATGATTTTTGAAGTTTTAAATCACTTTACTATCGATTATAATTTGCATTATTTCTATATTATAGATTCAGATTCAATCATTCAAGTTTCAATTTCTTCTTTCTCACTTCTCATATAACAATTAATATATTCAATTTCTTTCACTCTACAGTCTAATATTCTGTATTTTTTATTATACTAGTTATTATGGATTTCACAAGTGATGAAGTTAATCAGTTTGGCGGTAGCTTGAGTACTCCATCTAACTACGATGCATGTGAAAATGTTCCAATTAATTTGGAGGATATTGAAGAAGAAGAAGTTCAAGTACTCGAGACAAAAAGGTCAAAAAAAGAATCATTGGACTATTGGCAACATATGACACGAAAAAAAATTGGTGTTCAAAATGGAGTAGATATTTGGAAAGCATGTTGCAATTACTGTGGCAAAGAATTTAGTTGGAAGCCTGGCTCGAGCACAACGCATTTGAATAGACACGTAGTAAGGAGTTGCAAAGCGAAACCAGCCGATCTCGACTCGAAATAGACCGAACTAGTGTTTGGCAGTTCTAATTCTACTCTTTCCACCTTTGTCTATTCACAGGAAATATTTCATGAAGGAATGGCTGCAGTAGAGATGCCGCTTACGATGATAGACTCAATACACTTTACCCGACTCGTGCAGAAATATCTCCAACACAGGTATTCTTCTTATTCTAGAAATACTCTTCGTTCGGATAGCATAAAATTATATAACAGAAGAAAACAAATTACTATTGAAGGTCTAAAAAGTTTTAATAGTGTTATATCGTTTACTTCTGATTTATGGACTGGTTGTAATAGAAAAAGTTATATTATTGCTACGGCTCATTATATTGATCACATGTGGCTTCTACATAAAAGAATTATTGCATTCAGATGTGTAGAATTTCCCCGTAATGCCACTAACATATACATGATTTTAAAAGATACCATACAGGAATATGGTATACAAGATATGGTTCGAAATTTTACTTTTGATAATACTGTAGTGAACAAAATTGTTATTGAAAGATTTATTGCTGATCTTAACCCCGTATTTGGAAATTTATTTTTTTATCAACGTTGTGTATGTTATATTATTAATTTGATTGTAAGAGCTAGATTAGAACATACAAGTTCATCTTTAGATAAAATTAGACAAGCAATAAATTTTATTATTGTGTCACCAGTAAGAAAACAAGCATTTAATAGTTTGTGTGCAAAGTATGGATTACAGGAAAAATCATTTGCCATTGATGTAACACATAGGTGGAACTCTACATATCTTATGTTACATTCGTGTGAAAATTACGATAAAGTGATTTCACTATATTATAATGGTAGGCATACACTCGGACCCGAACATAATTTGGAAGATTGAGAATGGACTATTACATTTTACGTGGAAAAATTCTTACAACCTTTTTTCGATGCTACAAATGAATGTAGCGGTGTTTATTACCCTACATCTTCTCTTGTTTTACAACATTTTTTCTACATTTCACAAGCATTTCATAAATATAGAAATTTGCCACTTTTTGCAAATGTAGTCCGCTCTATGAAGTTAAAATTTTGTAAATATAGGGAAGAGTTGCCTTCTTTATTTCTTTTAACTTTAGTAATGGACCCTCGACTTAATTTAATTGGCACAAAAACTACTGTAAAAGGGGATATCAGATTTTTTGAATATATAATTATCACACGTGAATATAGAATCTTTTTTATATGAAATGTATAATTATTCTGCTGAAAATGAAGTTCAGCGTAGTTCTACTTCTCAAAGTTCTTTTTCAAGAAATATTTCAACAAATTCCGAAAATTTATGAAATTATTTAGATAACAATACAAGTGCTCCTTTATTTAGTTCTAGTTCTAGCTTTTCAACATCTAGAGCGATCAATATTGGTGATACAAATCTTGAAATTCCTTCTGAGTTCGCTAGGTATATGTGCGTGGATGTTCGTAGTGTGTTGCAACCGAACAAATTACAAGAATTTAGTCTTTTTAAATTGGTGGAAAAGTAACGAAAGACAATATTCAATTGTATCAAAAATTGCACGTGATCTACTAACACCTCCGGTGTCTACAGTAGCATCGGAGGCTACATTCAGTTTAGGTGGTCGAATTTTATTAGATGAACGATCAAGACTAAAAGAAGATATATTGGAGGCTTTGATATACTTGAAGGATTGGGAATGTATAGAATTACGTGTTCAAGAACATGTTGATATTATAATGACCGAAGAGTTACAACATATCCTAACATAGGATGTTGTAAGTTTTTAAATTAATTATTTTTCTTTAAGAAATGCATTTTTTAAATTTATTTTATTCAAGAAAATTGTACATGAAATATTTTATTCGTGTATAATTTTAACTCCGCCTACGTTGATTGTAGTCGATCCCAAACCCGAAAAAAGAAGGAAGGTTGTAATTTGTAACTTTTATTTATTTTGTTATTCGTATAAATTACATAATTTTGAAAGTTGTACTTTTATTTAATTTGTAATTTGTATAAATAATAAATTATACAAGTTTTAAATTCTTTCAAAAAAATATCATTAAACAATTTCTTTGCTTTTTACACTAAACAAATTGCAACACAACAATTAGCATGTGAAAAAAATTTCATTAAAAATTGCAAAAAAAAAATTAAAAATACCGAGCCAGCTCGGCTCGTAAAATGCCCGAGCCAAAGCTCGGGCCGAGCTTTATTTTTTTGGCCGTGCTTTGGCTCGGCTCAGGCTCAAAAAAGAACGCTACGATTTACTCGAGCCAAGCCCGAGCCAAAAATTTCGGCTCGCGAGCCGACTCGACTCGACTCGTTTACATCCCTAGTCTCTAGTATTCAAACGAGGGGCCCACTGAAGAAGTCATCAAAGTTTATTTGATCAATAATCAGTCAAAAAAGATAACTGGCTTGTGTGGAAGACGTGGCTTATACATTATTCCATCCGTTTCTATGTCATCAAGAATTTGTTGAGTCATGTTTGGATCAGCTTAAAGGTTATTTCTTTCTGTCTTCTTTTGACATACCATCCAAATAGCTTGAAAAGAAACGACTTTTAAGCTGGGCCAAACATGTTGAGCAGTCAAAGTACATGTAATTGGATTAAACTCGCTTTTAAACCCCAATCAATTGAGGCCCTGATCATCTTACTCAACCGCGGTTAGTCTTATCCAAATACTGATTGCTTCTAGGTTAAAACTTTATTTTTTAAGCTTCCAAACATGACCTTAATGTCACAAACCCCCTCCCCTAATAAAATGAAGAGGAACAAAGGAAAAAACAAAAAGAAAAAATGGGTTTCAAAATTTTCTCGCCCTAAACTTTTCCAAACTTTCTAAACAAAAAATAATAATAAAATTCTCAACTTGTCACTTCACAAGTGGTGGCAAGTCTCTTTTGATCAGTCACCCACATCCTTAATTACTCTCTTACAAGGCAGAATATGCAAAAGGTTATGTCCAAAAGCAATCCCTTTCTGAGAATCAAACCACACCTTTTTAACAAACAATATCCCCAAGCTTTTATTTACAAATTATACCCCTACGTCATGCCACCTCACCTCACCCCTACGTTTCTTCTATGCCATCCTTTTGTTTGCTTTCCTTGGGCTATAATCCTATGATTCTCCCTGGTTATATTATCTCTTGTTGAATGTAAAACTATTCCTTCTTGCAACAAGAGATGTGTTACCCGAGTGCATATTGGGTGGGTCTGTACAGCCAGGCCGGTCCTCAACGGGGGAGAGTAGTTTCTCCTGTGATACCACCATCACCACCAGCTGTGGTAGAGGTTGAAAGACAGCAAGCAACAGTTAATACAGCTGGGGCTAACAGTGGCAGTGGTGGAGGAATGAAAAGATGCGTGTGTTCACCAACGCACCACCCAGGTTCGTTCAGGTGTAGATATCATCATGCAGAATGCGAGTGGGTAGGTCCGGGAAACAGACCTAGTTAGTAAGACTACATATGTTTCATCATCCTAGCAAACAAGGAGAAATTAGATCATATTTCCACTGTATGAATTTCCTCCACTGTAATGTTTTTGCATAAAATCATATATATGAAAATTTGTATCTCTCCACCTGGATCCTAATTTCAGTTCATTGTGCACCATAAGAATAAGATCAAGAAATTCATTGTACCGGATGGGGTTGTGTACGCGCGTGTGTGCACGCCTGTGTACAATATAACAGATTTTACATCTATTCATACTCAATTTCTTGTATCCAAATAACTTACATACATACGATATGCATACTAATTTACATCCAGACAAATGTTTGCCCCATATACATGAAAAGAGATGGGTAATAATCCAAAAATAAAGTATCAATAACCTGGGCAGCACGAGGTTCTCTATTTGGCAATCTGCAAGAACAACCTCATCTCCTAGCTCTGTTTAGAAATTTTTGGGCAGTGTCCAATATTCCATCACTGAATTGGAATTAGATATGCAGGTCAATATCCAACTATAAAAATGTTACATTTTATTTGTGTGTATATCACTATATTTTTCACAACTGTCCACCTGGAGGGGAGAGCGGAGGTAGGGTAAAGAAAGGTTGGCTTTTAGATGGTGCAATTTCTAGCAAATTGTAGGCCAAGAGCCAGCATTGGACAAGACTAAACAGTATGATGAATAAGATTTGAGCTTCTTTTACTTTCTTAATTTCACATAGAATTCATATCCTTCACCTCCAATTCCTTCCATTTTTATTCACATGCAAGACAGATCAACCAGAAGAAAGGTAAAACTAGCAGAAGATTGGAACTTTACCTCAGGGTGGCAGCTTTGATGATCAATTGTTTGGTTGTGTGCATTTAAAATTATTTCACATATGTTTTTGCCTGTAAAGATCATAATTATGAAGCCATGAGAAACTGACAAATTTGATTTTGATCTGCACATTGACATTTAAAAAAGATCTTAAATAGCTTAGAAGCTGATGGTGGGGAGTGGGGGATGCATACCCATGCCACCATATTATAATTCCACTAGTTTTAAATAAGTAACGATTCCAGATTTGTCCATGATTTGATGCCAGGATACCAAAAAAAGAAGAAACGCATGAGCGTACAGAGGGATAGAATGGAGAAATGGAACATCTCATGAGTGAAAATACCTTGGGTAAGTAGATTTGCAAACATGACATTCTAGTAGAACAGTGTATTTACCTTTGATTCTAAATCATACAAGTGCAAAGAAACAATACCTTACAACAACTAGAAACAGAAAATTTACAACAGAAAATAAAGGCGAGCAAGCAGAAAAAAAATTCTGACAAAGGACTACATAAGATTCCATCGTCCAAAACATTAAACAAAGCTTACAGAAGATGTTATGCTCACATGCGTAGGTTCTCAATCACTGACTCACAGGTGAACTCGGTCATAAATCATCTCCAAACATGTTCCCCAATGGAAGCTCTATTCTCGCTCACACCATTTTCTCTAAGCCTCTAGTCCCTACTGAAGTCAATTCTGTCATAACTCTCCTAGTGATGATATTTGGCACACACCTAGAGTTGGAGCTCAAACACAGTGCCGCTTCATATCTATTATCCAAAGTGAATGAACTCATAAACACACTTGGCTAACCATAATTATCTTATGAATTTAAATTTGTTCTATGGATCTAATGGTATGGATTGTTTCCCTTTGCTTTTATCTGCGTTTTTACTGCTTAGTTTTGTGGTCACAGCTGCAAATTAAATTGGTTGTTTTCGACTGTCACGACTTCAAAGCAACCATGTCTATGGAAGACAAACTCTAGAAAATTTGTTCATAAAGGACCACATTTCCCTCTAGTTTCTAAATTGCCTTGATATCAACATTCACAACCCTTTAGCATCCCTTCCCAAACAAATTGATTAAAGCCATAAGTGCCTATCTTTGCAGTCCTATTATTTCCCTTCAATTGCTTTTCTCCATTCTTTCACATGCAGCTTCAAGAGTAAAGAAACATTCATCATTCTTATCCGTTCTACTTTATAGAACTAGCATTAATACCAACCCTTCTAATCTGAAAAATAATTAGTGATCATATTCTTTCGTATTTCTTAACCATCAAAATTTACCTTAAAAGGAATGTCGAAGAAGAAAACTCCAAGCTTCCCATCAATCTCTGTGACGGTATCGAACGGAACCGAACCCTTGGCTAGGTCTTCCAGCAACAGAATCGCGTCCGACAAAATCTCAACTCCATCTAACTGGAGCGTGGCGTTAACATAAGACTCCCCACGAGCTCTGACGTAGCCGTTGTCCGAGGAGACGTACCCCAGGCGATCCCCTCTGTACACGATCGCGACAGCTAATGAGTCATATTCAATTGAGTAAAAGTCTCTGTTCCGGACCTTGACGGTGAGGTCGAGTTTGATGTCGAGGGAGATTTTGGGGCGAGTATGGAATTGGAGGCCCTCGAGCCGGAGGCGGACGATAGAGAGGTTAGGGTAGGAGGGCCAGAGTATGTAGATGGCGGCGATGAGGAAGGGAAGAACGGCGGCAATGCAAAGTAGACGGCGGTGGAGGAGGCACGAATGGCGGTGGCGGCGATGGTATGGTTATACGATGACGTATTCGAATGTTGTGGGAGGTTTTCAGGTGATTGAGGGTCAGATGGGAGCGGCTGGTAAAACGGCGAAGTGACACTGGGCTTCGGCGAGGGCACGTTTGGTTGGTCTGGTCAGCTGAATATTGGGAGGATCTGTTGGAAGGGGTTGGCGAAAGAAACAACAACAAAATTATGGAAATAAAATGAATAGAAAATACGAAATACGTCAAGAATGTCAAGAATAAATTTGAGGTTTGAACACGGGATCGTTGTTCTTAAACTATATTTGTCCCCTCTCCAGATGTTTAACGATGTTATGGCAAATGGTTTGAAGGATTTTAACAAGCCTTGATACAGAAAATAACAAAATAAGAGAAATTTTTCCGTCAAAACTTGATGAACACAATAAAGAAGAAATGAATATGAGTTATAGCATGGACTTGATTAATTGTGAAACAATATATGTATTTCTTGTTTGTAATAATGTTTGTATTGATCATTCATCACCTATTTATAGGCATCAATCAATACATCACGAAATGGTGTCAAAACAAGATGAAAAGTGGCAACTTTTAATCCAAAACGGCTCCTAAGTTTCAAATTGAAAAATCAGCTAACGGCTATATTTTAACAATATGCGTGCGCATAGTATAAACCGTGCGTACGTATAATAGAAGCAAAATCAATTCTAATTTTATCAAAGCACATCTTGCGTACGCACAAAAATAAGCATATACGTACGCATAGGAAAAAATCAAACTTTTTATTTTTTAATTTCTTTTGATTCTACCAATTCCACAATTGAGTCCAACAATTAGTCCATTATCATTCCATTGATTTTGAACAAATATTCAACAACCCCCACTTGTTCAAAATCAATAAGATCACGTATTCAAAAAGATGACACTTATGCATAAGGATTAGAAATTTTTCGATTTGAATCTAACCATAGTGTAATTCAAACAAAGTAAAGTCGGAATTAGAGGTAGCATGGAAGCTTTGAACTAATTATTCCATTTGACGATACCAGTAAGAACACGTACATATGTATCACATGTTCTCAAGTTCCTCAACTCGCTTAGCGCTTTTATGGCATTGCACTCATCCTATTCGACAAACTTTTAAGAGAGAAACTCCAACTCTCTATTGAGGCGTCACCACCTCGAAGTTAGTCTAGGTGAAGTTCTTCTTGTACCTTTGTTAATTTTAGAGGTACTTGTGTTTTAGCACCGAACTTCATTAAGAGCTTTAAGTTCAACCTTCACTTCAGTAACAATCAGCATTATTTAATTAGGATAGGTTCATTGCGGATTTGAATAATGCTGCAACCATCCACATATCGAATGACTTGTTGTTACCCTTTGAACCCGTGGATTACTTTTTGAGTAATGACAGGTAGGGTTGCCGTCATTGGTGGACCTTTTTAGTTAAGAAGTTTCAACCCCATCCTACTCGAAGTAGACGCCACTAAATCTATATTTAGTGTTTTAGTTAAAGGATCCGCTAAATTCTTAATAATTTAGGGAAATTATTCCATTTTTGATTAATTTCCTTATATAGTCATGTCTCAGACTCATATGTCTAGACTTTCCATTGTATAGCATTTGCTAACGTGGCTTGACTATCACACATGATAGGTATTGAAGAGATATTCTTCGATCCCAAAGGTATCTCATATAAGAGATCTTTAAGCCACTCAGCCTCTTTTTCGGTATCTAATAAAGCTACAAATTCAGATTCCATGGTCGAGTGTGTTATACATGTTTGTTTATCCAAGAAACAGCACCTCCTCCAAGAATGAATACCCAACCCGAAGTGGATTTACTTTCACCCATGCTAGATATCCAACTAGCATCGGTAAATCCTTCCAATATCACCGGAAATTTAGTATATTGTAAGCCCAGGTTCTTGGTTTTCTTTAAGTATCCAAGAACTCTCACAATAGCCTTCCAATGATTATTACTCGGATTGCTAGTAAACCTACTAAGTTCACTTATTGCATAAGCTATATCTGGTCTTGTGCATTGAACAACATACATAAGATTCCCTATAGCACCTGCATATTCCAATTGAGCAATCACCCTTCCATCATTCTTTATTAGTTTTGAATTTGGATCAATCAGGGTATTACATTCTTTTATGTTCAAATGTTTGAACTTATTTATCACATTCTCAATATAATGTAATTGACTTAAATAGTAACCCCTACTAGTCTTTGTGACTTTGAAACTTAAAATGGTATCCACTTGTCCAAGATCCTTCATCTTGAATGTGGAAGAAAGAAACCTCTTTGTTTATTCTATTTCATCCATGTGATTACTTATAATCAGCATTTTGTCAACATACAAGCATATAAATGTCACATAATCATCACAAACTTTAGAATATAAACATTTATCAAAGCTATTATGTTTAAACCCGAATGATATTATTGCCAAGTCAAACTTCTCATGCCATTTCTTTGGTGTTTGCTTTAGACCATATAAAGATTTTACCAACTTGCACACTTTATGTTCATTTCCAGGTAGAGCAAACCCTTCAAGTTGTTCCATATAGACCTCCCCATCGAAATCTCCATTTAGGAATGTCGTCTTAACATTCATTTGATGTACATGCAAGTCATATATTGAAGTCAAAGCGAATAATATCCTAATCGATGTTATTCTAGCTACCGGTGCATAAGTATCAAAATAGTCGATTCCTTCCTTTCGTCGATATCATTTGGGTACTAATCTAGCCTTGAAGGTATTTAAGGATCCATCAACATTGTATTTTCTCCTAAATACCCATTTACATCCAATAGGCTTGGATCCCGGTGGTAAATCAACAAGTTCCCAAGTATTATTGGATATTATCGTATTCATTTCGTCCTTAATTGTATCTTTCCAAAAGGTGCTATCACGAGAAGCCATAGCTTCTTTAAAAGTCTTAGGGTTGGTTTCAACTTGTAGAACAAAATGATTTGTTCTCACAACATTCAACTCATTTCCCTCTACTAAGTAAAAGGAGATAAGTTGATAGACAATTTCATCCGGTTCCAAAGACTTTTCAACTCGAGTTCTCTTGCTTCTTCGTGGTTCACTAGACTCATCAACATCTTTAGAAGATATTTCATCATGTGTTCCACTTGAGTTAGGAATATTTTCAAGATTTTCCCTCAATTCATTATCAGAAGATAACGAATCCTCAAAGAACTCTACATCGTTGGATTTGATAATCACATTGGACTCCAAATTTAGTAATCTATAAGATTTGCTATTGTTTACATATCCAACAAAGGCACATTTAATGCCTTTTGGACCCAATTTGGTCCTATTAGGATTCGTGTTCTTGCAATAGGCAAGACACCCTCACACTTTGAAGTATCCAATGTTCTATTTTCTTCCTTTCCACAATTTATAAGGAGAAACCTTAGTATATTTCAAAGGAATCCTATTAAGTATTTTACATGCACTTAATAAAATTTCACCCCACAAGTTAAATTGCAACTTAGCATAAATAAGCATGGCATTTATAATTTCTACAAATGTTCTATTCTTTCTTTCAGTCAAACCGTTTTGTTCGGGTATCCTAGGTGCAGAACATTAATGAATAATTCCATGTTGTTTACAAAACAAATTAAAATCATTGGAAAAGTATCCACCACCTCTATCACTCCTTAAATTTTTAATTTTCTTTCCTAAATAATTTTCAATGTTATTTTTGTATGTTTTAAACATATCAAAGACTTCACTTTTATGTTTTATCAAATAAATGTAAGTATATCTAGAAAAATCATCTATAAAAGTTATGAAATATTTATTTCCACCTCTAGTTAACATACCATTAAGTTCACATATATCAGTATGAATTAATTCTAAAATACTAGAAGTTCTCTTAACACTTTGATATGATTTTTTAATCATTTTAGATTCTACACATATTTTGTATTTATGTTCATCATATGAGATCAAGTCATATTTTTTCATGCGTTTCATTGTATTTCTACCAACATGACCTAATCTAGCATGCCATAATGAAAATAAATTCACTACATAAAGCAAAATTACTTTTATTCATTTCATTGTCAATGGTACATAATTTGACTATTCCTTCACACGAATAGCATTTTCTAACAAATTTTTCATTAAATGATAGTACAAGTTTGCCGGACTCATAAACACATTTGATACTCGATTTTTCCAAGAGATTGCCACTAACTAGGTTCCTATTCATATCCAGAACATGTAATACATTAGTTAGAGTAACGATTTTCCCAGAAGTGAAGATAATGTCTACATTTCCTTTTCCAAACACCTTAGACTGCATCTCGTTACCCATTTGAATCTTTTGTTCTCCATCCACTTCTTGATAAGTTTTGAACAAAAATTTATCATATGATACATGTACTGTAGCACAAGTATCATACCACCACCCGGAACATTTCCTTTGATTGCGTTTACTTCACTTATGGTGGCCACAATTTTGTCATCTTGGATGGAATTCACTTTGGCCTCAAAGTTGTTTTATTTTCAGTGCCTACAATCCTTGACATAGTGACCAGATTTTTCACACACAAAGCAACCTCTTTTTGTCTTCTTCTTGGACTTGTTAAAGTTCCTAGAAGGCTTCCTTTTGTTGGATTTTGCCGACGGTTTTATTTTTTCCATAGCATTTGCTTTAAAAGCCCTCATGAGAATTTTCAGTTTTATTACGTATTCTCGACTCCTCTTCGATTCGAAGATGCTTTTGCAATTGTTCCAAAGAATAATCTTCGGAACTATACATGATCTTCTTCCGATACCCTTTCCATGTTCCGGGAAGTTTGGCAATTATAGTCCCCACTTGAAAGGTCTCTGGTATATCAATTTTTACCGCCTTTAATTTGTTGACAATCACTTGCAACTCATGCACTTGGGGGAAGAAAAGAGATATTCTCTAAGAATTTAAAATCAAAATACTTAGAAATCAAAAATTTCTTTGTACCTTCTTCTTCCACCTTGTACTTACTTTCCAATGCATTCCAGATTTCTTTCGCCGAAGTTGTATTGGTATATGATCATACAAACGATCCGACAATGCATTCAAGATGTGGCCACGGCAAATCAATTCTTCTTCTTGGCCTTTTTGTCTCTCGGTTTTGATCGTTTCGAATTCTCCATTTGTTGGTTCCGGCAAAGACGCCAAATTTGAATCAAGAATATAAAAAATCTCCAACGCCATTAGGAGGAATTTTAACTTGTCTTGCCACCGCGTGAAGTTAGTCCCATCAAAACGATCCAATCTAACCAGATCTTGATTCATGAGTTTGATGGTTGCCATAATTGTATAATTCTCAATCGCAAAATATAGTTTGAAATTGTTGGAAAATAAGGGGTTGGAGAAGAAACAACAACAAAATTATGGAAACAAAATGAATAGAAATCACGAAGTACGTCAAGAATGAATTTGAGGCTTGAACACGAGATCTTTGTCCTCAAACTATATTTGCTTTCTTTCCAGATGCTTAAGGGTGTTATGGCAAATGGTTTGAAAAATTTTAACAAGTCTTGATGCAGAAAATAACAAAGCACGAGAAATTTTTTCGCCAAAACTTGATGAACACAATAAAGAAGAAATGAATATGAGCTATAGCATGAATTTGATTAATTGTGGAACAATGTATGTATTTCTTGTTTGTAATAATGTTTGTATTGATCATTCATCACCTATTTATAGGCCTCAATCAATACATTACGAAATGATGCCAAAACAAGATGAAAAGTGACAACTTTTAATCCAAAACGGCTCCCAAATTTCAAAGTGAAAAATCAGCCAACGGCTATATTTCAATACTATGCGTACGCATAGTATAAACCGTGGGTACACATAGTAGATGTAAAATCAATTCTAATTTTGTCAAAGCACATCTCGCGTACACACAAAAATAAGCCCGTGCGTACGCATAGGCAAAAATCAAAATTTTCAATTTCTTTTTATTCTACCAATTCCACAATTGAGTCCAACAATTAGTCCATTATCATTTCATTGATTTTGAACAAATATTCAACAGGGTCTCCAGGAAGAGGATGGTGACGGGAGTCGACTGACGAATTAATCATACTTGTACTCTGCACTTGACAATAGCTTGCTGATGACAATTGACACGAGTTGCGTTACTAGAGGTAAACTTTCTTAAATCCAAAAAATTGATCCCCAAACTAATCCTATTTATAACCCAGATGATCGGATAAATTTTAGGGATAATTGCAGTAGAAGTCCCCAGATCTTTTAAATATTAGCAGAATTTTCTCTATCCTTTCATTTATTACAGTCGTGCCCTAAATCTTTTAAAACGTTGCATCTGATGCCCTTTTGGATGGAATCTATCCAATTTACCGTTAGTTGACATACAAAAGTGATTTTGACCTGAAAAATTAATTTTCACCACATTTTACTCAATTTTAAAAGGGCTAAATAGTAATTTAATATTTCCCCCATACCATTCCCCCCCCCCTCTCTCTCTTTCTCTGTCTTCCCTTCCACGAGCACAAATGGGGCTTTTATAAAAACCAAGAATTTAACCATGACTTCCAGTAAGTTATTTTATTTTTATTTTTACTAGGTAAAATGAGTAACATAAATCCACAAATGGATTGATTTGTGAGTTATCTAGGTAAAAATGCAGCAATGGAGATTGCCTCGGATTGTGGACCAAAAAATGTCAACTTCCTAGTTGCTAACTTTAGCAATTGAAGACAACCCCCACGGCCCTACTGCTTTGAATCAATTCGTTCGTCGTGCGTCAATCCTCCGCAATACCCTTTCAGTTTCTCTCACTCGATCTTTGCCTTCAAAAGGAAATCCCCTTTTGCAAATTTTCAAATGGGCACATCCTCGAATCCACTCTATGTTTCATCTCTTCTTTTTGTTGAATTCCTATTGGGTTTTTGTGCCTTTTTGTTTCTAGACAATTGAGTTCCAGCATTTCATTCCCATGAGGTCTGAGACTAGAGGGATCATTAGACTAAAATGTTCTGTGCTTGTGGAATTTCCATGAATTTCGTTCTTATAATCAAAGTCTGCTGGTGGTGGAATTTATGGAGACTCTGCATACGGGTTTGAGATTTGAGAGGTTTGTTTTGATCGGAAAAGGGTTGAATTTGAACATACATAGATAGGCAGAGAGAGTGAGAGAGAGGGGACAGAGAAAAGGGAATGGGGTGGGGAAAATATTAAATTACTATTTTGCTGTTTTAAAATTGAGTAAAATGTGGTTAAAATCACTTTTTTAGATCAACTAATGGTAAACTAGACAGATTCCATCCAAATGGGCCTCAGATGCAACATTTTAAAATATTTGGGATTACAGTCGCAACAAATGAAAGGTTATGAAAAAATTTGTTAGTGTTTAAAAGGTTTGGAACTTCTGTTGCAATTAACCCTAATTTTTATTTTCTTAAATTAACAATAAAATCATGTATAAAATATATAAGTTGGTATCCCATCAAAGTAAACCTCTTAATTCTCATATTATTTTTTCAACCACACAATCACACAATAAAATATTTTATAAGTAAGCTTAAAACCATTTCTTGTTTCTTAACCTCATATTCTCAAAAAAGATTGTTATTCAAAATATAATTTTTCTCTATAATGACCATCAAATACGGGCTAAATTTACATATGTAATAATTTTTGTCGAGCCAACATGTTTAACAAAGTTCTTGAATTTAGATGAAAAATGTTTTTTCCCCAGTGCCACACCAACTTGAAAATAGTAATGTCAGATTACATAGAGAATGGGTTTTTTTTTATTATTTTTTTTTGGTGCTCACATTGCATGTTTTTAGCTATCTACATTGTATTGAAGTTGCTCTAATACACTCAGATTCGCTATTAGTTTTTAAAGTCTATATAGGTTTGATACATTAAATCCCTATTTGAGACTTTGAGCTTATTCTTTAATAATAGATAAATCCCTATTTGAGGCTTTGAGCATATTCTTTAATAATAGATCCTATAAAAATAATATTTTTAGCAAATATACCGTTAAAATGTACAATTTTTTTTTAAATTTACGTACAAAATTATTTTAACGAAAGAATGTATATTTAAACTAGTTTGAAAAATGAAGCCGACCATCTTACATTTTGCAATATTGAAGTTTATTGATATGATGAAATAAATAATAGTTAGGTGATCAAATTGGAATTTCAGTAAACGTTGAATGACCAAAAATGAAAATAATCCAGACTTCACCTTGACAAATACTCCGTCTCCCATTGAAATCATAATTCATTCATTTCTCTCTCCCTCCTCGTCAATTACACATTATCCAACTAAAAAGAAAAAGCTAGGGTTTTCTACTCGCTACCCTAAGCCTCAAAAAATTCAGAATTAAAACTAGTTAACAACTTAGGCTTACGAGGATTGGATTTTCCTCTGTGAAATTTATGTGAGTTGTGGAAAAGTTTGCAACTTTTTTGTTTAATTTATGATTGGGGAAGCGATGGCGGAGGAGTACGAGAGCGATCCGGATGAGGCAAAGCTTTCGTTGAAGTTGCGGAGAAGGGAGGCGAGCGACGATGAAGAGGAGGCGGAGATAGGGGAAGGGGAAGAGCGTGGAGGGAAATCGAGACGGAGTGTGGAGTCCGATTTGGAATCGGATGGCAAAGGTGGGGCTGCGGATTACGAGGATGAACTAGAGGAGGAAGAAGGGCAGGAATATTACGAGGAGGATGAGTATGCGGATGAGGAAATTGAAGAGGAAGAAGAGGAGGTGGAGTATGAAGAGCGCGGTGGCGGTGGTGGAGAGTCAGCGGAAATTAAAGGAGGGGTTGAGGGAGATATAAAAGAGGAGGAGAGGCACGTGAAGAATGATGCAGATGAGATCAGGAATGATAATAATATTAATGATGGTCAGGAGGAGGAGGAGGAGAAGAAGAAGGTGATTGAGCCATATGCAGTGCCCACTGCTGGGGCATTTTACATGCACGACGATAGGTTCCGGGACAATGCAGGTGGGCGAAACAGGTATTGACATTGTTTCTAATTGATGATGCTTAGACCAGAGTTAGTTGAATTTCAATTCTAGGCTGTTTGGGATTATTTTTCATGGGTGTGAACTTGTTGGGTGGTTTCACGTCATGTGAAGTTCAAATTACAAATTATGTTATAATTAATATTTGAGTTATGCCTGCAGAAAGAGGGATATCTGGTGGAAATTTCTTTGGTTTGTGGATTTATAGAATATCTGCTCTTAGTTTCCAGTTTTATATAAACTCATATTTTCAACTTAGGGGTCTATTCGATTTAGACTTTTAAAAATTTATTTAAAAGTATGGTACTCAAAGGGTGTAACTGGGGTGGCCACAAGCGACTTGAGCTGACTCTATCCATGCAAATCTATAGAAGTCAATAAAAAAAATCAACGAATTCAACAAAAGACCATCACTTAAAAAACAAAGTCGATAAAAGTCTTTAAAAGTCTATATTGGATACACCCTTTAAACCATTTACGAGTTCATCTATCCATACAGTTCACATTGTACTAATGCAAACACTTTGAGTTTATTAATTGGTACATAGAACCACTTCTATGACTAAAACCCACAGTTTTCTGTGTTTTTAATTAACCAACTCATAGTAACAGGAGATTAAGAAAAATAATTTGAATAGTGACCAAAAATTTCGAGGAACATCTTAGGGTTGAGTTAATGAAGCTGAAAGATACTCACAGCTTTACAGACTCTTGTCTTTAAAAAATTCTCCTACTTTCTTAGAACAGTTCTAAGGTAAAACCACCACAATTAGGAGTGAAAAATTAGCTCAAGTCTGTCATAGAATATTGATCTAACTGAACGAATTCTGAAAATGTATAAGCCTTACGGGGGTGTCCCCATTTCAGAGTTTAATAGATTTCTTTATATTTATAAACTCTCATGGATTGTGTGAAATTTGACAGAATTTAACAGATTTCATAAGATTTGAATGTATTTCTACTTTGTAGATTTTAAAAGATTTTCATGGATTTTATAGATTTCGATGAATTTTATAGATTTTGTGTAAAATTTATAAATATGCTTAACATAAGCCACAAAATTTTACTTCTTCTTTAACAACTCATTCTTACACATATGCACGTTAATAAATCACAGAAAATGATCGAATCCTTGTTCAATTGTTTGTTAAACATTGAATATTATAATAGAGCTTCAATAAAAAATCACACCCAATATTCAACAAATTCAACAAAATGCAAGAGTGGGAGAGGAAAAAAATCTGTAGCATTAAATAATCAAAGTCGTAATCAATATGAATTAGTTCAAAAGGCCACAACCTTGTGAGATACAAACACACAGATGTACACATACATGACCAGAAGGCAATTAATTTCATGCTCCAGAATTCTCATTGACCATGCAGGCACAAAAGAAAAAATTGGGGGATACCATCCTCATGTCATGGCTAGAATGTGCAGGTATATATAGAAAACACACAACTTTTCCCAAGAAAAAAGAATAGGGTATAGAACTTGAAAGACGTAGTTTTTCCAGTATGCATACCAGGAACTGTAAATTACCATGATAATTTCCAGCACATATATAAAATAGTAAACAATATTTAACGTCAATAAGAAAAAATTAGTTCAATAAAAAATCACACTCAATAATCAACAAAAATAGTAATCTTTCATAAATTATCATCAATTGATAAGTTCCCATACATGATCTTTTCATAGTAGAGAAATGTGAGATAGAAAGAAGAAGAAAATTTTGTTCAAGATGGGGGGAGAGAGAGAGGGGGCAGCAAATCTGGAGAGAGGAGAGAAAAGTTGTTAAATTTTTAGGTTGGGATAAAATTGTTACAGATTTTTTGTATTTATATTTTTGCCTTGAAATCCTTCATAATCTATCTACTTAATAAAATCTTTATAAATCAACTAGTTATTGAGAACATCTAAATTTCAAAACTACCTATTAAAATCTACATTGAGGACACCTAAATTTATAAGTATTTCTAAAAATCTAGATTGGGGATACATACATTTTAATGAATTATATTTAAATCTGAATTGAGGATATCTCAATTTAAATGGAGTTTTAAAATCCATCAAACTCTAGATTGAGGACATCTCCTGTACTCTTAATATTACAAGAATGACTGAGGTTACCCTAAAATTTAATGCACAAAGTAACTTGAGCTTATGAGCTATTATCCAGTGTTTAAAATGGTTAAATAGGGTTTTAGGCATTTTGGCTTTACGAGGCCTAGCATAAGCCTTGACGTGCTTTAAGGATACTACATACCTTCAATCTAAATCAGTAAAATATTTCAAAAAAGAACAAAATTGTGAAATTATACTTAATCAAAAAAACCATATTAAGAAATCCATTAAAAAAATATATATATTTCAACAAAGTAAATATCTAGTTTGCAACCTGTAACTTAAAAATCAACAAGGTAGCGCTTATTAAATCAACAAAGTAAAGATCATGTGATAAGACCAAATTGACGGCTAAATTAATAGTCGAACAAATGAATAAGTCATAACTGACCAACTTTTTTCTGCTCTTGTTGACTCTAAATTAACAGAATGCTTAAAAAATAGAACGCAGTGACAACAGGAAAAATGTAGAAAGGAGTTAAGTCACATAGCGCAAACCACAAGTATTGTATCACCAGCCTTCATCGTGGTGAAGCTTGTGGAAAAGTTGCAACTTTGGGATGTTTGGGATGAAGATTTTTGGGAATTAAATTTGAAATAGGATATTTGGGATGAAGATTTTACATCTTGGCCGACCGTACTACAAGCTTACTAGGAGCATGTTTGGTAATGTTTATAAGTTGTGGGTCTTACCGAATTTGTTGATAAATACTAAACAGTATGTTTAAGCTTTGCTAAACATGCACAAGATGTAATCTTATCTTCTTCTTTTTCACCCCTGTTAGGCTATTACACATTGTAGCAATTTTAGATTATTATTAGATTCTCCTCACTCCTCAGATATGTGCTGGAGGTATTTATTTGTCAAGCATGTTCAAGCTCAACATTTGCTAGTTGGTAGTTGGTACAGTTTCGAGCCTTATCTTCTCCAAAGTTCTTTATTTTCAGGGAAAATCTCAATTATAGCAATTATACATTTGGGAATAATTAATTAAAAAAGTTGGATAGAATTTTTTCTACTATGGGAACCCATGCAAGTTACATGTTTTGTGTGGGGTGTTCTTCCATTTAGCCCAACCAAAAACAGCACATGTACAAGCACGAAAAAAATTAGTCCTGAAATATTTCTAGGTCCCATTATGGTATTGCATCAGGACTCATTGTTGTAACCTTTATGCTATTGGCCTATTGATATATTTTGTTATCTTGTCAAGAAAATGATCTTCGTGCGAATTTTATTTATTCAGGCGAATTCTTGGTGGGAGAAAGTTATGGGAGTCTAAAGATACTTGGAAATGGGGGCATGATAAATTTGAGGAGCTGACAATGCAGGAAAGGCATCATGAAGAAGTAAGTATTTAGAATGAATAGATGTCAGGGTTAATATGTGTGTATTTCCATGTCTCCTGATATGTGCTATCATTTTCCAGCGCAGGACGACTTCTAGGGGTCCTCACCGAGGTCGCGCTAGAAATAGAAATACAGACCTTGGATATGCACAAGATCAAAGGCCCAAAGCATACAATAATAACAATCAGAATAGTGATAACGATCAAAGCTTTGCTCCGAAGGGTGTGAGGGGCCGAGGACCTCGGAGGTATCAGCCAACTTTTAGGAACAACAAAGAGGGACCTCGTGCACGAAATAAACAGTGAGTATAAACCAATGGTCGTTTTTTCATTTTTTCCCTGGGTGGGGTAGGCTAGTCAGGTTTCTTGAATTCATCTATCCTTCCATTTGCTCTTATAGATCAGGGAGATCAATTGAAAAACCTTCACATGTTAGCTCTGGGAGAACTGGTGCACCTGTGTCAAAAGTAGAACCTGATGCCAATCAACCTAGGATACAAGCGTTTGCGTCAAATTTGAGCATTACTTCTCCTCCATTTTATCCCTCTGGTTCTTCCATAAAAGAGACCATTTCCTCACAGAGAAGGGATCTCCAAACTGGAACTAGTCGGAATGTTCAATCATCTGCCACTAGTGAGAGTTTACCGATTGCACAATCCGCCACAATGTTGCTGGGAAATATAGTGGATTCTATGGACATGAATAAGCTTTACATTGATGGTTCACTTTCTACAGTGGCTGGGAAGCCTTCTGACACCCTGCAAGTGCTGCCGTCTTCTTCTTCTACTTCTTCGAATAACGCTACTCAACCTCTACCTCTGCGGAATCAAGGGAGAGGGGCAAATTCCTCGGCACAAATGGCCTATAAACCAGTTGTCTCTAATAATCAAGTCAACAGGGGTTCTCCACCAACCCAGCTACAAGCTGTTCAGAGAAATCCTGTTCAAAGTCGGGCTCAATCTTCTTTCCATTCTTCTGGTCAGCAGTTTGTACAGCGTTTTGGTGGTGGATCGCAAACTTCTCCACCAAAAACAGTAGCAATAAATTCATTTGAACCTGTAGAGCTGGAATCTTCTTCAGACTCGAGTAAATCCAAGGCTGCATTGGTTGCTATAGGAAAAGGCAGTGTTCAAGGTGGCGGTAGGGGCTCCTTTCTATATAGTGGAGCTAAAGTTATGGGAGCCCCTGGAAATGTGGGCAGTAGTAATGGTGATCAAAATTTCCCAGCTTTCTTGCCAGGCAAGTCCATAGAAAGCATCTTGAAAAGAAAGTGTCACCATCGCAATTCACTCACTAAGTGCTTGTTTGGTAGGGATTTTGTTAATTGATTTTTTGACCGTTAGAGAAAAAGTGAGTCATACCTGTAAGAGAAAAATTCAAAAATAACGGTTGAAATAGTGAAATAACGGTCAAAAAATTGATGTTAATTGGATTAAAATCTCTATTAAACATGCTCTGAGCCTAATTTCCATTAGGATTGCCTTTAGTGGTTATGATTCTTACACTTTTTGCAAGTTCACAAAAATTACGTCCTAGCAAGTTTGTGGCCCATGTCTTTTACAGCTTTACTTAAAAAATGATTATTGCTGTTCGGTGGATTGTTCAGTTATGCAATTTGGAGGCCGGCATCCTGGTGGCATTGGAGTTCCTGCTGTTGGCATGGCGTTCCCTGGATATGTAGCTCAACCACAACTTGGTGTAGGGAATTCTGAAATGACTTGGTAATTACGTACAACCATTCAACCTTCCGCACCTCACACATTCTTGTACCGTCAAGTGCAAATGGTGTCACATACCTTCTATGCAAACTCGATCTCTCTGCTTCATATGGGACCAAATTTTTTTATAATCTTTATTCTACATTGAAGTAAATTTTTTAAATGACATTCAGGTTACCGGTTCTAGCTGGTGCTGCTGGAGCTCTAGGGACAACATTTGGTTCACCATATCTCTCTCTTGATGGTTCCTATAATGCTCGCCCACCTGGGCAGACATCCTCTGTAACAGCTGCCTCAAGGTTGGTAGAACTGTGTCCACTTTGTTATCCATTTTTTTTCCGCCTGTTTGCTGACCTTTTTCAGTTGATACTGTAAAATACTTGGTTAGATGTATTTTCCCTTCTCTCTGTATGTCTGCATTTAATTTTGTTTCTAGTACCTGCATTTTTTTTACCCCACTTGTATTGTAGGGAATTGATGTTTGTTCTTTCACTTATATGAAAGTAAATAGTACATTTTACTCGTTTGATGCAGCAAAGAAAGCAATGCAACTAAAGTTGATAATGATGGGAAGCCCTCACATGGGCCTGGTAAGATATATTCAATTTTTCTTTTTTTCCCGTGCAATTGTTACACTTCTCTTTTCCCTTATGTAGCTGAATATTTTCTGCTGCAGAGCTTACAAATGATGACTTTGGACAGTGGCAGAAGAATCCTCGCAGGCAAGTTGATCTTTCTTTTGCATGTTTAGGAGAGGATTATTTTTGTACTTCACCAATTTCCTATTTCTTCTGAAAATCTATACAGCTGACTTCTTTCTAATGCAATATAAGTTGTCTCATCATAATAATGAGATTTTTTAGTACTCTATGCAGATATACGGAGATGAGATTTGACCAGTGAAATAATTAGTTAGGTGAAACCTGCTTGGATAAGCCAATTAAGCCAAATTTAGCAGTCAAAATCCCTTCCATCTGTTGGGTGTTGCAGAGTTTCTTAGTGCTTTTGGTGCTGCAGGCTTTCCTCCAAGCCCTTTGTGTTGTCCAGTTTTGATCTGGAGCACTTTGGGCCGCATATATTGAGATAACTTAGGTAATGGTAATTTCTTGCTTGGGGTTTTTTAGATTTATCTATATAATAAGAAATCTCTATGCACATTTCCCCCTGTCCAGTGGTATAGGATCCTTAGTGTAGTTTTACTTTCTTTTATTCACTGATCTTAATAGCTTCAGGGCTATTTTTGAGTCCCAGCTGCGCAACCGTCCCTTCTGAATTATGTATGTAAAATGATAATGTTGAAGAATAACAAATGGCCAAGCTAATCTAGTTGTACAAACTGATATTTTACAAATCATTCTGTTGTTTGTTCACTTTATTGTCTGTTTTTGGTACTTAGTTCTTGTGAAATTGGAAGGTAAACTGTTGGTCCAAGTGATATCATCGCATTTCAATTTCTGTGATGGGAATGCATTTGAATAATGGGACTTTTTTTATTGAAGTGGAAATGAAAAAATCAAACAGTTTATTATGATGTTGAAATTTCATGGTTTTTGGTTCAGTACATTGTTCTCAAAAAAGCATTATGAGTGAGATCCTCGATTCTCTTATCTGGCTTTGTTGACCAGGTGTATAAAAACTGCTGATCATACTATCTTTTCTTCCGAGCACATAGGATCTATATTCTCAAGTTTGTGCATTTATAATGTCCATTCTCTTTTCTGGTTTTTCTGTCCAGGTAGATTGAAAAATGCCTGGTTGTGCTGCTTAAGTAAAATAACATTGCAGGTGTCTTGGGTGGCAGTTCCTTGTTCTTATATGCTGTAAGAGCTTTCAAAAAACTGAAGAATCTTTTTGTCTGACATTTAACGTTCTGAGTTGGACATATGCATGACTCGTCTTTACTTTCAAATGCAGATTCTTTTCTGTTAGTTTTTTCATGAAGCTTGCGAGAATTGGCATTGGGCTTCAAAATTATGAAAAAAGTGGAAATACCAAGAATTGTCGTGCAGCTGCTGTGTTTGTTTTGTGAAATAAATATCTTTCGTTTTTTTGGTTGGTTGGGTCTTATAAAATGGTACTTGTGTTCCATTATTTTGTATTGGCAACTTCCCAGAGGTTTTTAAAGAAGTTCAATTGTCTGGATTTTAATTGAAACATAGCTTACCCAATATTTGAGTATTTGAGTATTGATCATTCAAGAAGCCATATTTTCCTCGTGGGGGAGTTTGTTTATTTTGTCTTGGGTTAATTGCACTGGTCACTATAATACATTTTCTTTTGTCCAGTTGGTTATTGGACTAGGAACTTTGTCACAGTTCGGTCACTCCGTTCATTTCAGTGACAGTATTAGTTTTTACTCGATGGAAAAGTGACAAATTGAAATTTTTATAATCAAACTTAGCTAGGAAGATGCAAAAATTCGATAATATTTCAATAGTACATGGATTGCTAATCTTAACTAGATTATTTGATGCCGGTAAGCCCGTTAAATATAAAAGCAAGTTTTGCATCCCCTATACGAGCATCACACATAACATCTATCGTCATTGGAGGCCAACCATGTTTCTTCGCGGGATGTGTTTGGGTATAGCATATCGGTAGATGATTTATTTGAAGAGACTTGTTTTCCCAAATCGTCGTGCATAGCATATGGGTTAGATTCTTGTGATAACCCCTCAACTATCTTTCTAACACCTTCAATACCTTCAATTTTTTCATTTCGCTTAGTATAGATATTCCCTTCTGTTGACATTCACTGTCGCTCAACAGTAAGATGATACCGATAACATAAAGTGCTCCAATTAACTTTAATTAATTGAAATTGAAATTCAATAAATATTTCAATTGTTCGATTAGAAAAAGCATGACTGAATTTTTGAAAAAATTAATAAATGTTAAACCAATGTCAAAACACATTCAAGATATGGAAATTTAAATCCTAGAATTGTTTAGCAATGAAAAAGCTAGATTACATGAATTGAGGGATGTCGAAATCACCAAAATCGATTGATTTCCTTCGTGGCTTCATGAAGATTTTTAGTTCTCCATGGAGTTTCTTGTGCCAAGGATGAAAGGAATGGTGTATGGGAATGTTCTCTAGTGTTTTGGGATGATTTAGGGCTTAAAAGTCGTGGGAGATCAAGTTACCATAAGAGTTTGAACAGAATTAGGAAATTAAAGATTTGGCCACAGAAATCAACTATGCGACCGTTTTCAGTATTTTGGCCATAACTTTCTCTTCCGATGTCAGATTAAGGCAATTCAAAGTGTGTTGGAAAGTTAACACAAAGGACTACAATTTTGCTAGAAGTAGCTATTTCCAAATTCGAATGTTTACTAGGTCAAAAGTGGATCTCAATCTTTAGCTAAAAATCTGGAAAATCTTTATGCTGTTGAAATTTGATTTGTGAAAATATTATGGTCATATTTAACTTCTTTTGACTTCTAATTGCACATACTGGACTCCTAGCTTTCTCGAATCATCATTCTATCGCCTGTCTCTTCTTTGGATTATTTGCAACTTGGCCCCTGAACTTTACTTTCGTCTTTTTTCGCTCTTTTCTTCTAAACTCCACCGTATTCATCCATTTGCAACTTAAATCAAAATATAAGGGCACTTAATACATTTAGGTGTTAATTTATCACAATAACGCAAGTATAAATGGATGACTTACTTAACAATTTATGTTATTATCAACGACACTTGTCTTCCAAGATACAATGAATATTTAATATTGTGGTAGTAGCACTTCACATCGCAAAAATCGACAAACTCACAAAATTTCAATGCAAAAAATGAGTTAATATACGCTAATGTACGTCCAAACGGTCCTATTTATAGAGGAAGAAAGGTGTGGATGAAGTGGAGTGTGTCAAATCGTGCAATCTTTTTGAGCAGATGCAACACTTCATTTTTGCTAGCTTTTCGCTCGAGCAATGCTCCAAAAAGTCGAGCAGAAAAATTTACGCTTGCTCTTCGCTTGATCGTTGCTTGAGTGACAGAACCGTCACTAAGTGACGGGTTATCTGGCCCCACGTATTTTAATTTTATTTTTTCATTTCTTTCCTACAACTTGGACCGCAATTTCTCATTTGCCCGAAAATTGGTTTCTAGTGTTCAAATATATTACGATCATCTATTCTACGAGTAGAACAAGTTGGCTTATTTACTTTCATAATTTGACCATCGAATCAAGCCCGAATATTCGGCAGAAGTTGACACATTAGTCACACTTTTTGTTTTCAATTTTTATTTAAACCAATTTTCATTTTTATGGTTAATTTGGAAACCAATTTCCAACAAGTTCATGGAGAGACACTATTTCGAAACTCATTGGCTTACCTCCTGGTTACGTTGGTTACACCGAAAGTGGATAGTTAATGGAGGCTGTTCGATGCTGTCCTTGCACTGTTGTACTTTTTGATGAAATTGAAAAAGCTCATACAGACGTGTTCAATATGATGATTCAATTCTTGAAGATGGGAGGTTAACTGACGGCAAAGGTAGAACAGTCGACTCCAAGAACACCATTTTAATCATGACATCAAATGTAGGAAATAGAATAATTGTGAAGGGAGGTCGTCATATTGGTTTTGATATAGACTATAATGAGAAAGATAGCAGTTACTATCGGATCAAGAGCCTGGTGACAAACAAGCTGAAACAATATTTTAGGCCAGAATTTTTTAATTAGATTGGATGAGATGATTGTATTCCGACAGATCACCAAGCTGGAGGTGAAGGAGATCGCTGATTTAATGCTAAGGGAGGTATTCGAAGACTGAAAAGCAAAGATGTCGAACTTCAGTTGGCCGTGAAATTTAGAGATAGAGTCGTTGAAGAAGGAGACAACCCAACTATGGAGCTGGACCACTCAGATGAGCTGTAACAAGACTTTTAGAGGATAGCATGGATGAGAAGATGCTTTCTCGTGAAATCAAAGAAGGTGATTCGGTTATAGTTGATGTTGACTCTGACTGTAACATGATTGTTCTCAACGGTAGCAGTGCACCTCCTGAGCCATCTCTTGAGCTTGTTTGATAGAGAGCATGATTAGAATAAAGATGGAAGAGTAATGCTATTTGTAGTCTTCACCGTCAGTAGTCGTCCTACGTGACATACACTTTGCGATTTGATATTTGATACACTAATATGATAATTTTTTTTTTGATTTATACATCAAATAAAAACCTGCCATTTGTATGCTGCATAGGGCGACTGTCGGTAGTTTTCACTGCAAATAACATTATTCAAGATAGAAATAGAATTTAGATAATATTTTTAAAGTAGAGTTTGATTTAAATTATATTTAATTAAATTAGATAATATTAGTTTTGATATTGTTTGATACAATTATAGTTATTAGTACAAAATGTCTCTACATGTTGAGCTTATTATGCAAAGTTCAAAAGTTTTTTTTTTTTCCCTATTTCAACATTTTATTGCAAAAATTATCATTTTCATCAAATTCTGTTTAATTTCTCAAAAAAAAAAAAAAGTAGTGAAATGACGAATATATCTTCATACCTAAATAAAACGAGAAGAAAGGAAAAGAAAATGAACTTTAAATAAATTATTGAAGAATTAGACTTAAAAAATAATAATAATTCTCTTTTCTTGCTCCTCGTTCCTCCTCTTCTATCATCTATTCTTCTCACTTCAACTTCACTAGGACATAGAAAATTGGAGCAAGCATACTTATTGCAACAACCAAAGATTTATACATTACCATCTGGGGCATAATTCAGTGGTGCAAAGGACAAGAGTAAGGTAGTCTTAACTTTACTGGCAGTCGCAGTGTGAGGGTTCGATTTCTGAGATATGGATTGAACTCTTTGTGGGCACCAGTGTACGGACAAACTCTTGTTTTCTAACTTGATGGGGGTACATCTCACGATTTACCTCCTTCACGATTCTTCAAGGGTGGGGCGGTGGAGGCCTTCAAGGTTAGGGTTCAACCTTTTCAAAAGTTTATACATTCAACGAACCTTAAAAGCATATTAAGGAACATTTTTTAATAACTTTTTATTTTATTTTTTAAGTAACATTTTTTTAAATAACTTTTTATTTTATTTTTTAAGTAACGTTTTTTAAATAAGTTTTTATTTTATTTTATTTTAATTTTTTTTATATAAAATGCAAAGTTACCGTTTTACCCCTTTTTAAATTATTGAAAATGGTGAAAAGAAGTTTGGTGCTATAGTGACACTAAATTTAAAGTTGAGTGATCATCGATGAATTTAACCCCATTGATTAATAGTTTCTTGCAAGATAATGAAATCTAGTTGTCTGGCTCTGCTTAAAATCAAAATTATTACCATTGATTGTCCTTTGCGTGGGTCCTAGTGTCTCACACAAGTCAAACAAAACCGGCAACTAACGGTTGGGAAATCAATTAAATGAGGGAAGAAAATTTCTTCGAGACAGGGCCTTAATGTGCTTTCTCCCATGAGTAAAAAGTTTGGATAGTCACCAAACTTCCCCCTTTGTAACATTGTGGTCACTGAACTCACTATTGCGGCTGGAGGGTCACCGAACT